ATATTAATTTTTATTTAAGTAATCAGTTCTATTATGTATAATAATTATACATTGTAAGTCAGTTGTAAATAATTATATTCTGTTGGGATGTAGTATGTTCCTGAAGAAATATTTGAAATGAGTAAGCGTTATGAAGCCTGGCGCGAGAGGAAGGATCAAGAAAGAGCTCGCGACGGGGGAGGAAGAAGAGGAGGTGGCCGTGGGGGCGGCAGATTTCATGACGGATGGTAGTCGTAATGTTAAAGAAGTTGGAATATTTCTATTTATTTTTCATATTTACAGTTAGCATTCCTACTGTTATATTTAAAGGAATATTTTTTTTCTTTTTACTGTTTAGCAATTTTTCATTTCATTAAACGATCTTCAATCTGTCAAAGCGTTTTTATCTTCGTCATTAAAGTAATGTTAGAATATCACATTAGATACCTATGTAGCATTTTATTTTATAAAGTATTTGTTAATATTTTAAAAATACATGTTTAAGAGATGCTCCAAATGAAATATTCAGTCTCATTTTCATCTTTTTAACAATATATCAAGCGTTGTCAAAGTACGTGCAGTTCTGTAATAAAATTGAAGGTATTACATAATTTGCAACTTCACAACGTAAATTGATCGTAAGTAATTGTAACTTCATTTGATCTACCATTTGGACTTTAGACTACTAATCCTAAGTATGTTTGTAGCTTTAAATAAAATTAAATACTTGAGATGGAGAGGAGACTCACCTTAAGGGACTGTTCACTTTTTCTTAACTGTTCTAAGACGTATTTCGTGTCGCTTGCTTCAGTTGTATCCGAATCACTGTAAACATGTGGCTTTGGTAATCGACATTTCTTCTTCTATAAATGAAATAAAATAATATACTCTACGTATTTTTCGCATATAAAATAAATTGCTCTGTATATGCCGGAAATAAACGCAAAAATAATTAAAGTACCTTTTTTTCCATTTTACTGGGTCCCCGTCTTCTGCATTCTTGCATACATTTGGACGGAATGCTTCTTACGTCGAATTTGATCTTTTCAACATTGCTTGAAGAGTTACAGCAAGCATTACAAATTTTACAACAGGTCGCCAAAGGAAACGCCAAGAAGAAAATGGTATTTAAAAAGAATTCTGATCTTCTATAAAAGAAAATTTACATACGAAATGAAATCTGATGTTTCTTTTTTCTAAATTTTCTAGCTTTTACTTGCTTATCGCTCGAACTGTGCGCATACCAGTGTAAGGATTAACAGGCCAACCAAGTTCGTCATACTGCACCGGGCAATGTCTAAATTCTTTCTCTTGGTACTGGTCTAAAGGACGTGGTAACTGGACTAGGAGCCCTAAACCGTACATTCCGATTACTGGACAACAGCACAATCCCAATATACCTTTTAGAATTCCTTGAAATCGTTTTTGAAAATATTATTTACAAATTTCCAGTTTTGACAATAGAAGTCTTCTTTTTTATAGTTTTGTTATCTTTCTTACCTAAAGCAACGAGGCACAAAATGGGTCCCAAAAAAGTATACATTAGCAGTACTAAAGAAAATGTCTTATCTTCGGTGTTGTTTAAACAAGGAGTCAAACTTTCATCATCTTCACCTATTACTGCCTTTGAAAGGCTGTTACTACAAGCATTGTAAATGTCCTCCATTCATAAACAAGTTAAAAAAATTAAATGAATTGTCAATCATGACATTGCAAAAAGTCAATTAATAATACATATTGTCGGAATTATTATAAACCATGAAAAGGTAACTAGTACTTTATTTTTAACAATAGATACATTTTAAAATATAAGCATTTTAAGTCTTATTATATTTGAATAATATCACATTCTGAAGAACTGAATATTGGGCCCTTTATAGGTGCTGAAATTTTTAAATGAGCAAAAGTACCTGCGGTGTATCCTTTTGTTAATCTCTCAGGATTTACAACCATACAACCGTTTACTTCCTGAAATAAAAACGACAAAAAAGAACCTTTACATTTGCGTTTCTAATAATTGCGACAATTAAAGAAAATATAAAAACTTTCCTAATAGTCCGCCAAACGTTTTTCTTACCTTTATAAAATATCTTAAAGTAGATGGTAATATAAGTAGGTGAGGAGTGACGTCCATCGTTGCATGTTTTTCTAAAAGTCGATAACTGACCCTAAGTTTTGGGGGGATCAAGGGATAAAAACTTTGTTGTTCAATCAAATGGGAAACGAGGCGTGACATCCTGTCTCCCGATCGACCCAAACTAATCTCCTCTCTGCTCATTTGAAAGAGAACATCTGTAGCTGTGACTCCCACTATGAGGCCCCCAATATCCAACATTGAAGGATCAGGCACAAAATGCAAATTGGGATACTTATTCTTGCTTACATAAGGCGGAGTGGGATACACAGGAACATGAAATATTTCTTTCTGAGACGCTACGATGACCACTTGCGTCGTTAGACTATAAAAATAAGCAAACAATAATTAAAAGCCATTGAAATTTAAATCTTTATGAAGGGTACATACTCTTTAAAAGTAGTCATAATGCAGTCGATTAAATTATTGAAAAGCGAATCGTAAGATTCCAATAAGCATTCGTCTGTTAAGTTTTCGTGCGATTCATCTAATAAAGGCCCTGTAAGTACTAGTAAGTGGGGTTTTTTCTCAGCGGCGTATTTTAAAAGATCCTGAAGTGGTTCATAGGCTATGTTATGGTTAAATGTAAAAGGTGCTGCGGCTATTATCATTTCAAGCGTGTCTAAAAATGTTTAAAAATAATATTAACATCTTTCCTTAATTGTAGGCACAATATCTCTGAACAGTACACATTAAGTACAGAAAAGTAAATGAAAAGTATTATGCTCTTTTTCTAAATATGATTTCTAAATAGTAAATAAACATGTGTGGTCATATAATTCTACTGTTGAATAGTTTAATGAAATAATTCAATTACTTCTCAAAAGAGCGCAAATTTAAATTCGACGATAATTATAGTTTATGAGAATTGTGCTATAAAATCAAAATTATATATAATGAAACCAAAACATTCATTGACAACATAACCTACCAAAACCTAACGTTTTTATTTACATTAAACAATTTTCGGTTTTTAAGTAATTTTTAAACGTAAAAGTGAGGAAAATGAGAAATTAAATAAATATGCTTGACAGTCACAAGCTTATTACTCTTGTTTCTCATTGTCCTGCCCTGTGGAATAGAAATGACAAAAAGTACTCCGATCAAGAGTTTAAAACAACCCTATGGAGTAAAATTGCAATAGAAATGAACACTACAGGTACCCTTTTTTTCTACATAGTAAACAAATTTACTATTTATAAAGCCTTTTAATAAAATTCTTAATAGGGGCAATATGTAAAGACACATTCAAATCCTTAATAGAGAAATACTCACAAGAAAAAAACAAACACTACTCTAGTAACTTGGAATTTCAAGATTTCATGCAGTTCTTGGATTTGCAAAGAGAACTTAGTGAACCTGCAAAGAGATCAATGGTATTCAAAGCAGATCCTTACACTTTAGGGGATGATTATGAAGAAGGTCCCAGCAGTGAATCAGAAACAGGAAGCTATATGAGTCAAGATTCATCAGTTTACAATTCATTAGACTTTTCAAGGGCTCTTATAAAAATGGTACACAGTTCACCTGCACTATGGGATAGATCAAACAAAGACCATCATGACAAAATTGCAAAAGATCAGCTATGGCAAACAATTGCAAGAAGTTTAAAGACTGATGGTAAGTAAAGTTGATTCTGATGTTGAAAATTTATAATCACGAAACTTCTTTTATACAGTAAGCATGTGCACGCTGCGTTGGAAAGGGCTACGAGAGAAGTACATTCGCCAAAAACAAAAATATAATGATGGACTAGGCAAATGGGAGCTCCTAGATGACATGGCTTTTCTGGATAGCGTTATTTTATACAGAAAACGACACTGGCATCCAGAGGAAAACAATATGTTCACATCAAACGAGAACAGCTGCCCCCCTTCCCATCCGACGACTTCAGACTGTGATTCATCTGCCATAGCAAACTTTTATAATAATTCGATTTTTCATTCGCAAAACGTCCCAGTAAATTTTGTCGCAAGACCCAACATGCCCCCTGACAGTACTTTGGACAATTCTTCTACAAAAAGGCAATGCATCAATAATGACAGCGAAAATAATGGAAGCCAAACAATCAAACAAAATAAGTTGTTGGTAAGAGACAAAGAGATGCGAAGTCCCGAACAAATATTTGGGGAATTGGTAGCAGCTATGTTGGCTTGCAAACCCGAAAAAGACAAACACATTGCCATGACTGAGATTATGACGATACTAGCCAGATCTACATCACATACAACATAATTTTTTTGCTGTAGAAAAAAATATCTGCGCTTATTTTGTCAAAATTCTAAAATAAAAAACAACAGCTTTTGCTCATTTTATAAAAAGAAAGCAAATACTAAATTAGTAATTTTTACTAAAATTATCATCTTTATTACATCACAGTGCCAGGGATCTTTTTAGATCAGATACAACTAAGCAAAAATGTTGAAAATTGGGCAGCAAAACTGGTTGTTTTATTTTAGCATTGTATAATTTTTGTAAATAGATAAATGATACTTTCTTTTTTATACCGATGAGGCGACCTGTAGTCTTTTTTACAATAAAGTAAAATGTATGTTTTTGTTATATGATTATTTGTCGCCATTAATGTAATATTATCATTTTCTGTACATAAATTAAGTTATTTTTACTTATGAAATGTGATTGGTGTAAAATTTTCAATACCCTTACCTGGAATTTTAATTTCCTCCAAGGATAAGGGCAAGGTGACGTTTGAATACAATTCGTGAGCAACCACTGTGTTACCATGTATCACTTCTCCCACGGCAGCGACGACCTGTCCCGGAAACAAGGCATATGAAGGCAGTTTCGACAAATTCAAACTTATTCTGTTTCCTTGTCCCAATTCGACCGAATATTCCAACTGTATCGACGTCGGCTTCAACTTTCCTTTGGGATTGCAGCAAATTCGTCCAAAAGTTACAATGTTGCCCTAAAGTGTTTAAAAAATAAGGGACTATTTAAAAAGAAAAACTAATACCAAAAAATTAAGTATAAAACTTCTGTAAAATACTCCAAGGGTTTAGAAAAGAAAACTTCAAGTGGAAAAAGAACTTACTGTAAGTTGTAAAATTCCCTGGGGATTCTCCAGTTTGTACTTTTTGATAAGTGAGTGCCCTAAATATTCAATAATTTCATTGATACAAGTGGTTATTATTTTTGGTTTTTCAAACATATATTTTGCTTCTACTGATAACCAGTTGCTCTGTGGACCATACTGCTTTACACATACAGATACTGCTGAATTATAATTTCTACTAATATTTTTAGTGGTGTAGGCAGTAGACAATAATACTTTCAGAGGGTTTGATCTGTTATGGTATGTAAAACTTTCTGAAATATTCAGGGCAGATGTGGAAGGAAGATTTTCTTTGTCATCTTCTGGACTTCGATGCCTTTTCTTGGACTAATTACAGAAAAATACAAACATTAATTCAGAGATAATCAGTTAAATCCTTTTTCATTTTCAGAAATTATGAAGATTATCGTTTTTAAATATATCTTTTATTTGTCTCATCTAACTCAAAAGAAACTCAGCTTTTCAAAAACTCTTATTTCTTTAAAATTTGGGGCTTAAAATAAAAAAACAAAAACAGTAAGTTAAACTTAGTTTATTAATAAAAGGGTGTTTAATTAAAAAGAATAATAATAAATGGAAACTACTGCTAGTTTGTGAAACTCTTCAATAGACGAGTATGGATCTAGTCACGTTCAAAAATTACATGCACTAGACCAGACCCGTCCACTGAAGAATTGCTCCTAGATAAATGAGATTATTTTAAACATATTCCCTGAGAAACTGCTGGTGTGAATAAATGTCGTCTTTAATGAGTGTGGATCTAGTCACGAGCAAATGTACGTGCCACTAGTCCCATACCCATCAAAGACAACATCTACTGATGGGTAAAAATGCTGATGCTGTAATACATTTAATTAATGCTTATTATACTTATTGAAAGTCAATACAGCTAAACAATGAAGAGCCAAAACTGTTATACATTTGTATAATGGAAAAATGATAATAATAATAATAATTTTGCAAACAGTTAATAAAGGGAATTAAAACGATGCTACAAAAAAATTGACCATATTAAATTGAAGGTTAAGGGCATAAGCTCGCAATAAACTAATAAACATCTTTGAGCAATCTAACAAAAGCTCACGCAAATTTACAAAAGGTTGTTTACACTTAATAGATGTGCTTTGTGAACTTCCAATATTCTACTTTACGAGCATAAAATTGAATCAACGGTTGCGCACACCACCATGCAACAGGTTGCAGTTGCCGGAAAACAGATATTTACGCACTTTAATCTAAATAATTTGTTAAATTTATCAACGAATACACTTTCAAAGCCAAGCGTCTCAACCGGAATTTAACAAATGGCTGCCGAAGGAATAATAGTAGCCTTGAAAAGTTTCTGAGAAGCTGAATTTCTTACCCGTAGCATTTATATACGACCTACGTCCGTATATTCCATCTTTGTTCAACGCACCGTACATGTTGATTCGAATTAATGACGTGCCACCACTTTACATCATAACTTCAAAACAAAGAAAAGACCATCACGAATACTCACATACACACACACAAAATAAATCTTCTAATATTTTAAAGCAATAATTGTTTAATACCTGATTTTTAATTATTAAAATTTTAAGATTTCAGACACGTACCTTCACTGTTTCGGGGGTTTGAGCCTCTGTAGTTAAAGCGGGTTTTCTGTGACTTGATAAGAATTTCTTTTTCAAAATGTAAAAAATAAAAACTAAAATAAAGCAACATTAATTAAAAGGATACACTTCAGTTTTTAAATATCGTCTCTTTTGTCGTAGCTGCTGCTGCTGCTTTATAAGTTCTCTGTGTTCCATCAATTCCAATGCAGCTAGTGTAGGAGTTATAGTGTTAAAATGTGAAGCTGCAAATGCAGACCATTGGTCAACAAGATCTTCAGCACTAACTTCATACTTAGAACACAATTCTAGGCCTGAAACGAATCACTTTTAGAAACGAATATATAAAACAATTTTATTGTTAATAACTAACACTTTTCAAGAATATCGTTTTTTGCTTCGATGTCCATAAAGTGAAAATTTACTTTTAATTCATCTATACTAGCCATATTTAATAAATTTGCTGTTTTATTCCGAAAAACTACACATTCCTTTTCACTTTTAACCTGTTATAAAACAACAAATTTCCGCGGGAAAATAGAAAACATTTGGTAATTTTTTTTTTCACAAGTTGATTTCCTCCTGCAGTGTTTAACATACAGCTGTACATAAATTAAATTATTAAACTATTTTCGTTTGTTTTAAAACAATAAACAATCAAATACCAGTACTTTTAAATAGTAATAAGCAAATTTAATACGCCAAAGTAATTACTGAAGTTCTTGCACTAAATAACTTTAGCATAGCAGAGTAACATGGTTGCATGGAGACACAATATTTTTAGAAACGCTCTAGGGATATTTATTATTATAACCATAGATAAAATATAACCTTAAATAAATTTATATTAAGGAAGCCGTTAAATCTTAAAAAATAAAAGTATTTAAATTAAAAGTTGCAAATATTTACTGTAATTTTGTGTCAGCCAGATAATGAAAGTATTGTTTGCTTTAGATTTATTCCTTCATATCACCCCTTAACCTCAAAATATTTGAATTATGAATTTTTGTAAATTATTACGCAAAACTATTAAACTGAAGTCTTGTGTACGATATTTAAATAACGTAAGTTTCCTTAGATATTTAAAAGTGCATGCAAATAAATAAGTAACACTGTTTTTTAGTACAAAACGTTTTCTAAAAGGCAAAGAATTGAAGAAATTCGAAAGACAGTTTTTCCAAAAAGTCGCAAAAATCCTGTAATAATGAAATTAGAAACTCCTGAATTCAAGTCTATATTCACAGATGAATTAAATTTATTAATAAAGTTGTTCAAAGATAATGGATTTGAACTGAGAGTTGCTGGAGGTGCTGTGAGGTATGTTTTTATACCATTGTAGTTTTAATTTAATTTAGATACTGTTTTGAAGAGATTTACTAATGGGGAATAAACCAAAAGACCTAGACTTCGCCACAACTGCAACACCAGATCAAATGAAGGAGTTGTTTACAAACGAGGGAATAAGGATGATAAATATGAAAGGTGAAAAACATGGTACAATCACTGCAAGGATTAATGACAAAGAAAACTTTGAAATAACAACACTGAGAGTTGATCTTGTGACAGATGGGAGACATGCAGATGTTCAATTTACCACTGACTGGTTGTTGGATGCTAACAGGAGAGATCTTACAATTAATTCTATGTATCTTTGTAAGCCTTAACTAATATATGTCTTTTGTTATTTCTCAATTCAATTCTAATTTAATAGGTTTTGATGGGACTGTAATTGACTATTTTTATGGGTATGAAGATCTTAAGAAGAGACGCGTTTGTTTTGTAGGTGATGCAGAAACCAGGATTATTGAAGATTATTTAAGAATATTAAGATACTTTAGGTACAATACTCTATTATAATAAATACTTATTGGAGTTATCAAAAAGGAGAATAAAATATACCTCTATTTTAGGTTTTTTGGTAGAATATCCGAGAGACCAGACACACATGAAGAAGTTACATTGGAAGCAATTAGGAAAAATGCATCAGGTTTAGGTCAAGTTTCAGGAGAGAGGATATGGGTTGAATTGAAACAAATCCTTGAAGGAAACTTTGCAGGGGAACTTGCCCTTACTATTTTAGATTGTGGAATAGGTCCTTATATCGGTAACTTCGCATTTTAATGACCAATTCAATTATATTTAATTGTTTTCTTTTAATTGCTCTGCATTCAGGATTACCAAATAAAGTGAGAATTGATGAATTACAGAGGGTTTGGGGAAAAGGTAAACATTTATCTCTGAAGGGAATTACTTTGTTGACTTCCTTATTAAGTAATGAAGAAGATGCTCTTGCATTACACAACAGACTCAAGTTATCTGCTTATGAAAGAGATCTCGCTTTATTTATTATCCAACATAGGGCTCCAAAGCCCAGTCCAGATCCTTTACTACCCTACCAAAAGCTTGTTGTCTTGGGAAAAGGAAAAGATATAAAGGACTATGTGATACAAGTACTGAAGTATAACAATTCACCTTATATACAGGTAACTTTATCTCCATAATAGGAATGCAAAACATTTTTATTCTCATTTTTTTATATTGCTTAGGATTTTGAATCATGGATTCCACCAAAATTTCCAGTAACTGGAACTATGTTAAAGGATTATGGTGTGGAAAGTGGCAAATTTATGGGGGCCGTACTATCGGAATTAAAGGAGATTTGGGCAGAGAGTAAATTTAATAAAACGATAGATGAATTACTTAAAGATGTACCACATATTGTTAGCACTTTGAAAGAACGAAAAAAGGTCAAACAATAAACCAATTAGTTTTCTATTCGCATTTGTTATTTCTTAAAATGTCTTTTAAAGTAAGAAATTTAATAGTATTTAATTACAATCTTGATAAAACATGTTAATACTGAAGTAATGAATTCAAATTAATCCCGCATTTTTAATTGGTAGTCACAATGTATCACAATAATATTCTTACATTTGAACTAATGTTTTACTTAGCAGCATATCATGAAAACTAATAGTCAATAAATGTCATCTTGAAAGCCTTTTTGAGTTTTTTTCAAAATAACTCAGTTCACACTGAATATAAACTACCAATAAACAAAACAGAGTAAGTAATTATTCAAAAAATAGCAAGCACATTAACGAAATCGCTTTGAAATTAATAACACTGCATAACAATTATAAATATAACCTCAAAAAATAAATCAGTTTTGGAATTTATTTTTGAAAAAATAAACCCAACTTAAATCATAAAAAACTGAAATGGCCCACTATAAAGGAGCTGCCAGTGAGGCTGGCAGAGCCATGCAACTTATGAAAAAAAGGGAACAGCAAATGCAAGACATTGAGATAAGAAAACGTAAAATAGAAGAAGATTTGAGGATAAACAATATTGAAAACAAGTTTGCTGCTCATTATGATGCTGTGGAACAACAACTTAAGGTAGGTTTTAGATAGACTTTATTATCATTAAAGAAATTAATCTAATTTCCTTTTCAATAGACTTCTACAATTGGTTTGGTAACACTCAATGAAATGAAAGCTAAACAAGAGAACATAGTAAAAGAAAGAGAAAAGAAGTTGGCTCAAAAGCAAGCTGAAAAGGAACGGGAACGCCAAAAAATTTTAGAAGCAAAACAAGCAGAAAAGAATAAACAAAAGAGACAGGTAATGAATGTGAAACTATCTAATGAAATTATTTACATTACCAAAGTTTAGTTTTAATTACAGATTCTGGCATTATCATTTAATTTAGAAGAGGAAGGCGAAGAAGATGATGAATCAGAAGACTTTAGAATGGAAGATGTAAAGCCTGCCAAGAAAGTTCGAAAAGATCCCACTGTGGATACTAGTTTTCTTCCTGACAGAGAAAGAGAAGAGGAAGAGACGCGATTAAGGGAGGAATTGAGACAGGAGTGGGAACGAGAACAGCAAAGGCTTAAAGAGGAAGAAATGGACGTCACGTTCAGCTATTGGGATGGATCCGGGCATCGTCGTACTGTTAAAGTTAAAAAGGGAAACTCAGTATATCAATTTTTACAGAAAGTTCTGGAGCTCCTAAGAAGGGATTTTTCAGAATTAAGAACTGTTATGGCTGATCAACTTATGTATGTGAAAGAAGACCTAATTTTACCTCACCATTACACATTTTATGACTTTATAGTTACTAAAGTAAGTACAAAAATATAAAGTCGATAATTCTTCATTTTCTAATGATACCGTTTTAGGCAAGGGGTAAAAGTGGACCACTATTTAATTTTGATGTCCATGATGATGTACGTATGGTAAGTGATGCTTCTGTGGAAAAAGAAGATTCTCATGCAGGAAAAGTGCTTTTAAGAAGCTGGTATGAGAGAAATAAACACATATTTCCAGCAAGTAGATGGGAACCCTATGATCCTAGTAAATCTTATAATNCGCTCGTAAAATTACTAAGACACGGAAGGTATTTAGTGAACTTCAAAAAGTGATGATTATGTAAAAAACTACGCAGAATCTCATGGTACCGACAGTTTTCGAGTGCGGCGACAAACAGGTACTGTCCGGCACTATTCATCTAAGGCCATTCCCTTTACCCTTTGTCTTTCACTCCACACATGGGTTCAATTTTTTTGCCGGCATTGAAATAAACTATGCTTGTATCAACTTAGAATTGATGATGCTTGCGATAAATTTATGAATCTATTAGGAGTTCCGTTTGTTCTGGTAAGACGACGTTGTCGTTATCGTGTTGTGTATTATAGATACGTGTGTGGTCGATAATGCCACTGCATCCATATTCATCAGCATACGCCAATTTGAACGAGTTATGAAGAGCAACAGCGCGACTTGCGCTCGCTGCAGTTCTAAATTATTCATAACGCATAAATTTATATTTACATGGCGGCCGTCTGCCGTTCAGATTGTTAACATAAACCTGTCAATGGTTAAAATCGCATTAATTAGGGCCTCGGGTTTCGAGCCGTCCCGTACCGTCCGTCCCATCTCGTTCAACGTCCAGTCAGGTTCCATCTCTAATAGCAGTACCTTGCACATGTTATGTAGGTGCAGTACATTTATTATATTCTGCTCGCTTCTACCATACCGTACACATTTTTCTACTATAATGAGGATGAATCGACTCGATTCCTTAACGACTTACCTCCCTATATCCCAATAATGCGCTTGATTTGTGATCAAATTTCTGGATAAGTCCGTACATTTATGATTAGTACTTATGGGCGGGCTCGTCTACTGTTACATGGCATCCATAATTTCTTATTTATAATTAGTACGAAGTTTGGTACACCAAAATTATTGAATATTTACTCAAAATTGGAAGCTAACACCTACCACTCGGTTATTACGTTAATCAGTAAGCCGTCAGACTTCATTCAAAATCTGGAGATCGAGCAATCAATTAATTGAAGCGAGTCAGAAGTAAGTTAGGGTGGTGAAACGGTCGACTGCTTTCGCTCATTCTAATAGTATTCTCTGCATTTTGCAAGTATTTTGAACGCCGGTGGAAATATATTGATGTTTAAAAGTATCCTTTACAATATTCACACAACGTGTCGTGTACTACGTCCAAAAACCACCTTATCGGGTAATTTTTATTTCGAATGTGAATTTAAACGTTCATAAAACCCGTTTCTAGTAACAGTTTACCTGTTTGGAATTGCTTTTTATGTGTGTTTCATATTTGGCCGGGGCCATCCATAAAGTTGCGTTTATCTGATGGCACGGCCGCGACAGGAAGATGGAGGATGCTCACTCATTGGGGTCGGGAAGGACAATGCTCACTAGATTCAATCTCGTCACCCGGTGACAGAACCGCTGACCAAATAAAACAATGAATGACGAGACGGTAACAACAAACGTACAAAAAAAGCGATGTTTTATCGTTTAGAAATAAGGAGGACAAAACGGTGTACATGTTATAATCCAGATAAGAAAGCTCAAACTGGTTTAAAATGGTGTTAGACTGTTACATAAGGGGCAATATTTCTTTTTCGGGTTTCGGGTAAATTTTTTACTGTGTGGTGTTCTAAAATCGAAATAAATAAAGTTATAGGCACTTCGTTAGATATTATTTACTGTTTCCATCCTCTAGGATTAAATTCTGCGAAGACATTTATGTAAATTAAATACTTAATATTTTTTCACTCGTTTAGGAACATTGATAAGAGGAATAAAGAAGTAGAAGAAAAGTTTGAAGTAGGTAAAACCGATGAGCCTTATAATATAATTAAAAGGAATTTTTTGAGATGTAGGGTACAGTAGTAACAATATAAGAAACGAGGCAGNATAGGCACTTCGTTAGATATTATTTACTGTTTCCATCCTCTAGGATTAAATTCTGCGAAGACATTTATGTAAATTAAATACTTAATATTTTTTCACTCGTTTAGGAACATTGATAAGAGGAATAAAGAAGTAGAAGAAAAGTTTGAAGTAGGTAAAACCGATGAGCCTTATAATATAATTAAAAGGAATTTTTTGAGATGTAGGGTACAGTAGTAACAATATAAGAAACGAGGCAGGATTCATATAGGTGGAAAGAATATTTAGAGGCCATGATTAAGGAGATATATTAGAGAAGGAAGAAAGTGTGGAGATAGATGAGCTAGGTAATCTCATAATGAGAGAAGAGTTCGATGTAGAATTAAAAAAATTAAAGAATAATAAGGTGCCAGGTGTAGATGGGATACAGGGGGAAATTTTAAAACATGCTGGATAAGAGGTTAGCGATCGTATGTTGTGTGATATGAATAGCGAAAGTTAATAGCAAAGAGGTATTAGAAAGAATAGGAGAACAGAGAACTCTGTGCAAGTCAATAAGAAATAGGCGAGATAGGTTGGTAGGGCACCTTCTCAGGCAAGAAGGTCTAGTCAGAGACATATTAGAGGCAGAAACAGGAGTTAGGAGGGGTCGAGGTAGATCTAGATTAGATTACTCTTCGCAAATAGTTAAGGATGTGGGTTGTTCTAGTTCTGGTGAAATGTGAAGATTTGCCCAGGATAGAAAAGTGTTTAGGTGCGTGTCCAACCAGTCTCAGGACTGACGACCTTATGATAATGATAGGAACATTAACAACTAAATGCTAAGCAACAACCCTTATTCTGATAACAGAGCCGCCTGTTTTATTTTTTAATTACAAATTTAATTTACCTACCTACAGAAGTTATAAATAAAAAAACAAGTAGGTACAACGGGAACTGAAAACCCAAACAAAGAAAATGTTTGACTTTTCGCAATAAATAATTAAGAATCGCTTGAAGACGCGGTCGTTTTAAAAGGTTTACATCTCCGATGCGGCATCTCATCGGACAAGATTACGTTTTTGTACGAAGATTAATAGGAGGATATAAAGCGGAGCGCGGCTTGAACCGCGCACCGGCGATGGAAACTTTTCGCAGAAGGTGCATTTTGACGTCTCCGAGAAATATATCGACCCCATTTCGTCTCATTAAGAACTTTATTTGATGCGAATTCCAACACGAACGTCCAATCGATTATTCGATTAAGATACACGCTTAATATTGATATTCGACCGCTCGTTCGACATCGATGGTCGACTTTTAGTGACAAATAACGACACACACACTCACATTTACGATAACAACATGACATTATTAGTATAATTTTACGGTATGTAAAGTTTAATAATTGTCAGATTATATTAAAATACAAGCAGAAGTATAGCAGTATTAGCATCTAGCAAGGAGGACCTAGAGATAGCTTTAAATAAAATGGAAGCGGTCCTGACCGATCAGTACTGTATGAAAATAAATAAAAGTAAAACTAAAATACTGGAATGCAAGGGAAGAAAAAGTAGGGAAAGAGCGAATATAAAGATAGGAGACGAAAAATTAGAAGAAGTGGCTGATTTTAGATACCTAGGAAGTCAGATAAGTGAGGATGGAAGGAGTAGTAGGGATATAAAGCAGAGGATAGCGCAGGGTCGTGTCGCCTTTAATAAAAAGAAGTCACTTCTATGCTCGCGAACGGTTAATTTAGAAATTCGAAAAAGGTTGTTAAAGGTGTATGTTTGGAGCACGGCGTTGTACGGGTGCGAAACATGGACAGTGGGAGCGGCGGAAAAGAAAAGGTTAGAAGCGTTCGAAATGTGGTGTTATAGGCGGATGATGAGGATATCGTGGGTAGAAAAGGTTAGAAATGAAGAGGTATTGGAAAGAATAGGAGAACAGAGGACTCTATGGAACTCAATAAGAAATAGGCGAGATAGGTTGGTAGGACACCTTCTCAGGCGTGAAGGTCTAGTCAGAGACATATTAGAGGCGGAAACAGGAGTTAGGAGGGGTAGAGGTAGACCAAGATTAGATTACTGATCGCAAATAGTTAAGGATGTGGGCTGTTCTACTCTTAGGGAAATGCGAAGTTTAGCTCAGGATAGGAAAGAGTGGAGGTACGTGTCCAACCAGTCTTAGGACTGACGACCTTATGATGATGACAAGCAGAAGAGGTATCAGCTTCCTGGACCCAAACATTTTACCGGTTCTATGACCTAGTCAATTCAAATCTCTCATCATCATCATTAGATCTTAACTTCTGTTTCTGCTTCTAATATGTCTTTAAGTAGCCCTTAACGTCTGAGGACATAATAGACGTTTACATCTAGAACTTTTTTGATAGTTTTTCAAATTCGTTGTTGTTCATGCATTACTAAGTATTAGTTAACGGAAACATCTATTAATCCTACCTCATTCTTTCAAACGTTTCTCATGTGCAATCTCGTTTCATAAATAAACGTCAGAACGAACCGTTCATACATAATACAGGTAGGTTATGTATAGGTATATCGGGCTGCCACGGCCTTATTATCATATTATAGAAGAGACAGAGGCCTTTCTTTCGATATTTTTTCTAAGAAGAACAATAATAACATGTCCACGCCGTTGTGTCTTCGGATCGTCTGTTTTGCATCGAATTTGAATGGTTGCATTGCGCGGATCGGTTCAAAGTGTTTCCGAATGGGATACGGATAGGAGACGGACGGTACGGGGGCAGATTTAGCCATGATGTTGGCCGGGAGATCGGCAACGATCGTCATCCATATTCAAAGAGCGCTCGCGAAATTTACATACAATGCGATGACAGACAGCGATGCGAACGGTACTATTTATTACGGACGTACGTATAAACCGGAGCTTTGTGTGTCTGTGCTTGCCGGACATGCAACAGTGGACAATCGTCGGGGTAAAAGAGTAGTTAAAATACACTACAGCTTTCCTAGATTAATGCCTCGCCGAAAAAGGAAGACAAACCAATAGTCGATATTTATTGATGGAGTCGACGAAGTTTTCTTCTAAAGTTAAATCAAATAAAAAGTTAATATGTTCAGTGAAAAGCTGCAATAGCACTTCAGACATAGATCTTCACTCTTCACCTACATTAACTACTTTCCAATAAAAACTAACCGTTTTATATATGTAAAAAATATATTCGGAAAATTAGAGAAAAAAGTAA